TGGTTTCCATATGTTGCTCCTTCCTGTTTCCATGTCTCCTTCCATGGTTTCCAGGCCAGTAAGCAGGGGAGATTTCAAGGCTTACCTCATTTATTTTCTCTCTCTCAGAGATCTTCATATTCATTGTTGATAAACAGTGTCTTGAAAACCATATATTTTGCCTTTTTTTTTTTTAAATAATTTCAGATGAGGGTAGATTCCGCCCTAATCTTGGCTGGTACAGAAGTCCTCTTTAATTATTTGAAATATGGTTTTTAGTCTCTTCCTGATATTCAGTTCTGAAATCTGAAATCAGTTCTGAAATTCAGAAAGAGATGGGAATACCAGACCACCTGACCTGCCTCTTGAGAAACCTGTATGCAGGTCAGGAAGCAACAGTTAGAACTGGACATGGAACAACAGAGTGGTTCCAAAGAGGAAAAGGAGTATGTCAAGGCTGTATATTGTCACCCTGCTTATTTAACTTATACGCAGAGTACATCATGAGAATCGCTAGGCTGGAGGAAGCACAAGCTGGAATCAAGATTGCAGAGAGAAATATCAATAACGTTAGATATGCAGATGACACCACCCTTATGGCAGAAAGTGAAGAAGAACTAAAGAGCCTCTTGATGAAAGTGAAAGAGGAGAGTGAAAAAGTTGGCTTAAAGTTCAACATTCAAAAAACTAAGATCATGGCATCTGGTCCCATCACTTCATGGCAAATAGATGGGGAAAAGGTGGCTGACTTTATTTTTCTGGGCTCCACAATCACTGCAGATGGTGACTGCAGCCATGAAATTAAAAGATGCTTACTCCTTGGAAGGAAAGTTATGACCAACCTAGATAGCATATTCAGAAGTAGAAACATTACTTTGCCAAAAGGTCCATCTAGTCAAGACTATGGTTTTTCCAGTGGTCATGTATGGATGTGAGAGTTGGAATATAAAGAAAGCTGAGCACCGAAGATTTGATGCTTTTGAACTATGGTGTTGGAGAAGATTAGTGAGAGTCCCTTGGACTGCAAGGAGATCCAACCAGTCCATCCTAAAGGAGATCAATCCTGGGTGTTCATTGGAAGGACAATGTTGAAGCTGAAACTCCAATACTTTGGCCACCTGATGCGAAGAGCTGACTCATTTGAAAAGACCCTGATGCTGGGAAAGACTGAGGGCAGGGGGAGAAGGGGACAACAGAGGATAAGATGGCTGGATGGCATCACTGCCTCAATGGACATGGGTGAGTGGACTCCAGGCGTTGGTGATGGACAGAGAGGCCTGGTGTGCTGTGGTTCATGGCATCGCAAAGAGTCAGACACGACTGAGCAACTGAACTGAACTGAACTGAACTGATATTCAGTTATTTCAGATTCTTGGGTATTAATCTTACTATCTGTAGCATGTACTGACTCTTGCTCTTAATGAATCCTTTCCTTGTGTTCTATATGCTAAAGCTCACCTTTAATAATTATTCTCTCCCTTTGGACATTCCTAAGTGGCTTGAATGATTGAAGTATCTCCTTTAGAATAGCTGTCCCAGGTAAGTCATCCCAGAACTAATTTGTGTGTTAGTTTATCAAGTGGATAGGGTGATTTTAGATTCTCAATCAGTGTGCAGTATAATCTGGAATTTTTATTTCTAACAGAAGACTTTTTCCATATATAGCCCTGGATAAAAACAAAGTTTCCTTTGTGCTTTGTCTGAATCAGTGATAAAAAAATCTTCTATTCCTTTATCAAGGTTGAGAGGCCTTTCTAAGGTCTTAGCTTTATGAAGGGGCATCCCTGGTGGCTCAGATGGTAAAGAATCCACCTGCAATGCGGGACACCTGGGTTCTATCCCTGGTTTGGGAAGACCCCCTGGAGGAGGGCATGACAACCCACTCCAGTATTCTTGCCTGGAGAATCCCCATGGACAGAGGAGTCTGGCGGGCTACAGTCCATAGGGTCACACAGAGTCAGACATGACTGAAGTGACAAAGCAGCAGCAACAGCAGCTTTATGAAGAGGTTTTAGTTTCACCTCCTCACCTTGAGAAGAGTCAAGACCTCATTTCCTTTCCTTATGTAGGCATTAAAACCCAAGTTTATAAATGCTGAGACTATTTCTGAATCTGCAAACTATCACTGGGACCACTGTACAAGTTTTCAGCTTATTGGTCATTTTGACAAAGGAGGATTTATTTTCCTTTCTTGTGATTTCAGCTAGGTATTAAATTGTTCATATTTAGATTCAACATTTATAATAGTTATAGCAGAAGGTATTCCATATTAGCTGAATCTATCTTGTTTTGGAACTATAAATTCTATCCTCCATAAGGATTAGGCAAAATATTGTATATGTATGTAGATGTACATTATAATAGGAAATAGGTCCAAACCTCAATCAAATTCTTTAACAGGTCTATAAGCCAAACAAGGATTAAGGATAATTGCTTTGTAACTTTTGATCTGTCTATATTTGATCAGTATTTCTAAGTGCTTCTCTGTTTCATAAAATGATTCCTTGATTAAACTGCCTAAGCTCCTTGGTTTTTACTCTAGATACACAGGGAAAAATATAAAATATGTATATTTGATATATATTTACCAAATATATATATCAAATGTCATTATAATTATGGTATTGGATTGGCTGAATAATTCCATATGTAATTTGATTAGATTAGGGAAGAAATATCTTTTTTTTTTAAGAAATATCTTTATAAAAGATTCTGTTATTAGTTGGGAGAAGAGCCAATAGAAAAATTGAGAAAGAATCAATTAATTCTGTTATTTAGCCAGACTGGATTTTACTGAAGTATATTATCTACACAAACATAAATAAGATTACCCATATCCTTGAGGAAATTACCATCACACACATTACAGGTAGAAGTTACAAAGGAAATTAGGCAATACTATAAGGCTGGTCTTGTTTTGGAAAACTATATTCAGCTTAATGTTTATAGCTGACATACTTCTTCGACATTCTTACATGAAATAAAATTCAGTATAATACTACTGACTCACTTCATTTGGTTCATCTAATAGCATTATTATTAATTAGCAATAATACCATTCAAGATGTGGATATACTTTTCCAGAGTTTCTTTTCAAAATGTTCTTTAAGTTATCAATGGTTTGTAAATTAACAGCCAAATCCTGTAAGTCTTGTCATGAATCAGGAAGATAAATTTCCTATGATTTTATTTATTGTATAAAAAAAAAATTTCCTGCCCAAAAGTCTACTTGACTACACTACTTTTCCATTCAAAAATACAGGATGCATTTTCAATGTGCATTCTCTTCTAGCAACTAATAGCTACCAAGCAAGAAAAGCCATCATATTGAGAAGCCTTAGTGATATAGTGGAAAAAAAAAAAAAAAACGGAATTAAAAATCAGACAGCAAATCTAAGTTTGACTACTGGCTCTGCCGTTCACCAGTTGTGTGACTTTAACAAAGCTATTTATCTAACAGCTGATCGGTTTCTTTATCTGAAAAAGTAAAGGGATAATTATGCCAAAAACAAAGGATTGCTGTGAGAATTATAGATAAAAATACCAAGTTCTCAAAATGCTAAAAAGAAAAAACAATAACAAGTAGAGTAAGACAGTGCTATACAACCTATTCTAAATGCCTCTTCTTTTCCTTCAATGTAAGTACTGTTCAAGTCTTTCTTGTACTACAAAATGAATTATGTAACAAAGATAAAATTTCACCAATTTTAGTTTGTGAACCTCAAGGTTCTAACTAAGGCTGATCTTTTCAAACCTACTCATTTATTAAATTCTAGCTATGTCCTTAGCACTATTTTCATACATTAAAAAAAAAAAACCCACTGTAAAATTCTCTAAAATTCCTATAAAATCTCAGACCCTAACAGATAGCAATGAGAAGAGATTATTAACCCTTAGCCTTAGGAGTCTCTTAAAGTTTGATTTCTTGAACTAAAAGACTTCGGAAAGCTGTTAAAGAAGAGCCCACTGGAAAACAAAACAAACCACAAACAGCAGTATCTCCCTTTCTCCTAATCTGATCCCCTATTTTCACTTTTAGTTCTGTATCTAAAGACTGGAAAGCAAGCAATTCCACTATAAATTGAAGCAACATAACATATACTGCAAAACTTCTTTGAGGCTTTGGTACACCCAAGTAGGGAGTAGTTTTACTTTCTAAACAAGTAACAAAAGATGGTTATTAAACATTCTCAACAGAAACCATCTCTGTTTATACATTTAAGAGCAACTGAAAAGTAGAGGTTAGTGCCACTCTATCAAAATGCTTTCAAAGTTAAATTCTATCACTCCAAAATGAAAAGTTACAAATTTGTTTTCCTTAGATACATCCCTGTGAAAATAATTTCTTTTACTGGTAATTTACCTAAGAAACTTTTTGGTTTATTAACAAGGGTCCTGAGAGGGTAAAATAACTTTGGGCAAGTCATTTAACCTCTTAGGCCAGTGCTCTCTATATTCTTGCTATTCAAAGTATTCCACAAACCACAGAATTGACATCACTTGGGAGCTTGTCAGAAATGCAGAATATCCGGCTTACTGTAACCCTACATAGGAACCTACTGTAACCCAGACCTACTGACTCAGAATCTGTATTTTATTAAGATCACATGTGATTTATATACATATAAAAGTTTCAGAACCACACTTACTATTCAGTAGGGGGTTGGACTAAATGATCTTAAGGTCACTTATAACTGGTGATTTTTTTCAAGAGAAAAATCAGATCTGACAACAGTGGAGCCTGTATTCTCATGTGGCAACAGTAGGCGGGAACTCGGTAGCAACCGCCCCATAAGATGGGGCATGCACTCTCCTTGGCTCCCCAAGTCCTTATCCAGCCCCTTCATGTACTCAAGTCAACTGGTTGGCCCCTATCTAGCCACTGAACTAACTTAGATACCAAACAGGATTGAGGAAGTTCCTTTTTCAGTAAATAAGAGAGGCTTTCAGGGGTAAAAATTCATTAACTATGAATGAATAGTTTTAGGTGAAAGGGGAAAGGAAATAAACTGTTCATTTACCTTGATGGGAAGTAGTGAGGTCCAGGTAGGAAGTAAGGGTGATGAAAAGAGAATCGTGGTGGTGTCCCAAACAATGCAGCTGGATGGCCAAGGGGTGGGGGCTGGTAGACGTGTGAGTGTGGGATAGGAGGAGCCTGGGAAATGGGAGTACTTCTGGGACAAGTGGAAACGCTGGGATACTCCTTGGGAGGTTGGATGGTTGAGGTTGCAAATCTGGAATGGGCAGGACTTGCACTAGTTGGAATCCTGTTGGTGCTCTCCAGAGAAACAGGAGTGGGTCTCTTCACAGAGCGACTGACTCCAGAATGCAGCCGATGAGTGTCTGTTTGGGAGGGCCCAGCAAAGCGCTGGGGTGGGAGTGCTGGGTGGAGGGGCAGACTTGGAGCCTGGACAGCCACCTGGGCAGTACTGGAGACGCTGGGCTGGAAAAGCGTGATGGGGCTTGGACGCTGGACTGCAGGTGTGGGCAGCTGGATGGTCGGTGGAGAGTCACCTTCAGAAATAAAAACAGTATAGGTCAGGCATGTATTGAGTCACTTTCTATTTTTCCTTTTTTCAGCAGAACTTATTGAACTGTATAACCAGAAGCTTCCACTAATCATCTTACCTAAGAACATCACCACTCTATTTATTTCATAACCTCCTGAACAAACTGAAGCCATCTTGTTCATTTATTTTACATTCTTGTCTCTCTTTCCCACTTAGATTCTAAATGCCCTTTTCTGTTTTGCTCATTACTATATCCCCAGGGCTCAAAATTCTGCCTGACACAGAATAGGTCCTTAAAAAAATATTTTTTGGATGAATAAATCAATGAATAAAATGTCTGAGTGAAAGACAAATACAAATGCTGGTATATATATATAAATATTTCTAAAAGAAATAATATGAAACTATTGATAGTGGTTCCTTTTAAAAAGATGGTCATCTGGAATAGGAGACAGGGCCATGGGAAGCCAGACTTTCATTTTATACCTATTGGGACTATTTGAATTTTCTATTCTCTAAATATATCAATTTTATGTATTAATAGATGTTTAATCATAACAGTATGGGTCATTTTTTAAATTTCTATACTCTATGATAAACTAAATTATGAATGACATTTTTAATTGAAAAAAAATAAAGAAACCATCAGTAAAATTATTTTGCTTTATTGCATCCAATGTGAATACATAAGGAAATTCCCCAAAGAGACTATGACTTGCCATAGGTCAGCAATTTGTGACAAATAGGAAAGAATATTATTGCAGCATGGCAAGATAGAGATAGTAGAATTTTTAGAATTTTTAGAAATTTTAGAATTTTTAGAATTAAAATAATCATGTATTTTATCTTTTTGATCCTGAAGAAGAAGGACTGCTGACTGAGTTACTAAGTTACTCAAAAGACACATTTAGCCTAAATTTAACTAAACTTCTCCAAAGAAATACAGAGAGAAGCCAAAGTAATAGATTCATGATCGAGTTTATTTCAGTGCAGTTACGTCTCTTAATATAGAAGATGCAGTCCAAAAACAGACTCTATGGTTAGAAATGTTTCTGTCAGAGGCCAAAAGGATTGTCAATCTTCTCTCAGTCTTGGCCAGGTAACATGTTCCTCTCCTTCCTTCTCTCCAGGTAAGTCAAATAACAATCACCCTTAAACCTGGAGGTAGGGAATGAAGAGCTATATCCATCTGCTTCAAGATGGCCTCTGACCCAGTGAAATAGAGGCAACACAGTGTACAGATAAAGCTGTCATGATTCTCAGTTAATGGGGTTAAATGGACTAGCCCTCCCATATGTGAGGCACAGGCTTTAGGCCTTTCTGATTAATCAAGCATAAAGTAATCTTCCTCTTCATGTTCCCTCAGAAACTATAAATCTATCACATATTATAAAAATAGTGTAAATCTGCAGGTCTGCCACCCTTACCACAATCACAAAACTGGGAACTCAAGAGCAGGAACAGTTTAATTCATAGTAGTAGCCCCATTATCTGGCACAGAACAGTTAAGAAAGGTATGTATAACTAGATGAAAGAAAAAACAAACAAGCTTACAGCTGACAGAACCTCTATCTCTGATCTTATACAAAAAAATCTCCTCCTCTAAATACATATTACACCAGGCTGACTTGTAAAATCTCTCAAAGTTTTATTCACTGAATTATCACTGCACTCAAGACATCTGCTCCTAAAATCTACCTCTGATGCAGATTTCTTTTCCTATGCAGTATGAAGTTAAGTAAGAAGTGTTGTCTACCACGTCTGAGACTGGCCCATAAAAAAAACTCTCATGCACAATCCTCCTGGCTCTTAGTCCTCAAAAAAGAAATATGCTCTTTTTAGGCAAAGGAAACAAAAAATTATAGGAGCTGTAGTTACTTCAGTTACTGAAGAAGAAAGGGACTCAATCTTTTACCTGATATCAAATGTCCTTTTCTACCAAAGATATTTTTTATAAAATAAAGGGAACCAATGAAGCATGAGGTGATAAAATCATGCACTCATTTACTTAAACATTTACCAAGCAACTAACATTTTTGACCTGAGGTAAAAAATCAGATACATAGAAAGTTATATGGAAGTATAATAAAGATGTCCTAAATGTCAAAATTCAGGTTGCTATACCGAGAGGTTAATGCCTACAACACCTAATCATCACTGATAAACTCAGTGAATAGGGAAGACTTGTGGAAAGGGCAGAGATCTAATACATCACACTGTAGATAAGGTATGGAAAAGACTATCCAGTCACTTGGTTTCTCTCCTACTAGCACACAGCTAGGTTACATTTTCCATCCTGCCTTGCAGTTAGGAGTGGTCATGTGGTTCAAGCTAACCGATGAAGTAAGTGTTGTATACCACTTCTGAGACTGGACCATAAAAAACTCTCATGTACAATCCTCCATGCTCTTTTCCCTCTGCAAGTTCATGCACACTTGGATACTACATATCAAAGACAGAAGAGCCATAGGGTAGAAGAAACCTGTGTCTATGAATCCCTTGGAAGAAAGTCAGAGATATTTGTTTTGGACTTTACACGCATAAAAATGTAAACCTTGATTCTGTTTAAACCATTATGTTTAGGAGACTGTTGAAGCAGCTAGCATTATCTAATTGTAACATGAGGTAAAGAGCAGAATTTTAGATCTATAGTACACTATGATAAGAACAAAAGAAAAAAATTAGTTATTAATAGCTGTCCATAGTTTCAGCAAATCCCTCTCACCCATTCCTAAAGAAGACTCCACTACCTGTGCTGAATGGATGAAGGATGTAACCAGGCTTTTGTTGTGTGACTGGGATGAACAGAAAGGAGTAGGGAATGGCAGAAACTGAGGACAGATCAAATTTCTCTACAAGAAAAAGCTGTATAGCAGTAGAAAGGAGGATAGGAAGCCCAGCATATGACTAAGAAGAGAGAAACAGAAAAAGGAGGAGAGAGAGAGAGAAATAGGGTAAGAGTCGGAGACATAGAGACAGAGATGGAAAACGGAGACTTGGGAAGAACAGTTAAATAACTGCTAAGGACAGTGGGGCTTTGGGGAGAGAAATGGTAAAGTGGAGCCCTAAGAAGACTTAGTATAGTTTGAGCCATATGATTCCTCCTCCTTTGCTCCACAAGAAAACCTACAATAATGAGCTACATCACTTTTCAAGGAATCTGCAAGCCCTATCTTTGTTTCTTCTGAACATAAAACTTTGCAAGAATTGATCTTAAGACAAGGACAAGATAAGATTGTTTTTGGATTACAAAAATATTAGAATGTTGGAGGTTTTTTGTTTCATTTCTGTTAAAAAAGAAGAGATGGGTAAACCAAAATGATATTATATGTCTATGACCAAAAAATTAAAATAGTAGTAAACATTTTTAATGTCAAAATTTAGAGAAAATGTATGAATTCAGAAGAGTAAAAGATATCAACTGAGTTTAGATGTAATAAGGAAAATTCATTTCAGGTTGCAGTAATAAAATGTAAAGAATGAAATAATCTCACCAGAAAATTCATAAATATATAAAACTAACATCTGAAAGCCAGCGTAAAATAAATATAGCTTCTACCAGATTTCTAGAAGCCTTTAAAAAATTAAATGTGATCAATTTAATAGAAGAATTATACAAGAAAGATCTTAATGACCCAGATAACCACGATGGTGTGATCACTCACCTAAACCAGACATCCTGGAATGCAAAGTCAAGTGGGCCTCAGGAAGCATCACTACAAAGCTAGTGGAGGTGACGGAATTCCAGTTGAGATATTTCAAATCCTAAAAGATGATGCTGTGAAAGTGCTGCACTCAATATGCCAGCAAATCTGGAAAACTCAGCAGTGGCCACAGGACTGGAAAAGGTCAGTTTTCAGTCCAATCCCAAAGAATGTTCAAACTGCCGCACAAATTCACTCATATCACACGCTAGTGAAGTAATGCTCAAAATTCTCCAAGCCAGGCTTCAACAGTACATGAGCCAAGAACTTCAAGATGTTCAAGCTGGATTTAGAAAAGGCAAAGGAACCAGAGATCAAATTGCCAACATCTGTTGGATTATACAAAAAGCAAGAGAGTTCCAGAAAAACATCTACTTCTACTTTAATGACTATGCCAAAGCCTTCAACTGTGGATCACAACAAACTGTAGAAAATTCTTAAAGTGATGAGAAGGCCAAACCACCTTACCTGCCCCCTGCAAAACCTGTATGCAGGTCAAGAAAAAGTCAGAATCAGATTTGTAATGGACTGGTTCCAAATTGGGAAAGAAATATGTAAAGGCTGTATACTGTCATCTTGATTATTTAACCTATATGCAGAGAACATCATGCAAAATGCCAGGCTGGATAAAGCACAAGCTGGACTCAAGATTGCTGGGAGAAATATCAATAACCTCAGATATGCAGAAGACACCACACTTATGGCAGAAAGTAAAGAGGAACTAAAAAGAGTCTCTTGATGAAAGTGAAAGAGGAGTGAAAAAGTTGGCTTAAAACTCAACATTCAAAAAATTAAGATCAAGGCATCCGATTCCATCACTTCATGGCAAATAGATGGGGAAACTCTAAAAACAGTGAGAGACTTTTATTTTCTTGGGCTCCAAAATCACTGCAGATGGTGACACAGCCATGAAATTAAAAGATGCTTGCTCCGTGGAAGGAAAGTTATGACCAACCTAGACAGCATATTCAAAAGCAAAGACATTACTTTGCCAACAAAGGTCCATCTAGTCAAAGGTATGGTTTTTCCAGTAGTCATGTTATGGATATGCAAGTTGGACCATAAAGAAAGCTGAGCACCGAAGAATAGATGCTTTTGAACGTGGTGTTGGAGAAGATTCTTGAGAGTCCCTTGGACTGCAAAGAGATCAAACTAGTCAATCTGAAAGGAAATCAGTACTGAATATTCACTGGAAGGACTGATGGTGAAGCTCCAATACTTTGGCCACCTGATGCAAAGAGCTGATTCATTTGAAAAGACACTGATGCTGGGAAAGATTGAAGGTGGTAGGAGAAGGGGACGACAGAGGACGAGATGCTTGGATGGCATTACCGACTCGATGGACATGAGTTTGAGCAAGCTCCGGGAGTTGGTGATGGGCAGGGAAGCCTGGCATGCTTCAGTCCATGGGGTTGCAAAGAGTTGGACATGACTGAGCAACTGAACCAAACTGAATTTAATATAAAATTAAAATGCTGGCATAACTGGCATCAAAGACATTTGATAAAAGGAAGTATCTAAAAAGTATTCTGGACTATTAAGCTGTAAGTACTTTCAGAAACTGGAAACAGGAGATAAGCTCAATATGTGGGATTAAACATGAGAGACAAAATTAGATTTTTGGAACTACAAATACTGGCTAGGAAAATAAGACTGATAGGGATAACTAAAATAAAAAGTTTATAGAACGAAGGTTATTTTATATGATAATGTTAAAAACCCAGAAGGAAAAAAATGTGCCTTAAAAATCAAAAAGTTGTTATGGCTAACTGACCAAATCAAAGTGAAAGTGAAGTCGTCCAGCCGTGTCTGACTCTTTGTGGCCCCATGGGTGGTAGCCTGCCAGGCTCCTTGTCCATGGGATTTTCCAGGCAAGAATACTGGAGTGGTTGGCCATTCCCTTCTCCAGGGGATCCTCCTGAGCCAGGGTTTGAACCCAGGTCTCCCACATTGCAGGCAGACTCTTTGCCGTCTGAGCCACCAGGGAGGCTTGACCAACTTAGAGAGTACCCACAAATGAAGAGCTCGTCCAAATCTGTGAAAAAGAAGCCGAAGTGTGTAAGTGAGATGCAAGTACAAATTAGACAGTTTAAAAGAAAACTGAAGAAATTACATCTGTGGGACCTTAAAATCAATAGTAAGTGACTTTTTAAATACTTTTCCAGAAAGAAGAGACTCAATGGAATCAATGGGAGAGTCATTATGGTGTAAAAGTCAACTGAAAGAACAGAGACTCAAAACCCACTTCCTACTAAAGAAGACCTTAAGAAGATATCTGAACCTAATTCATTTTCACAGCAGATAGTTTAAAAATATTACATCAAATGCAGTATAATGGCAAGTTCACATAATGTTCTAATCCAAATTGATAAAATGAATATATGAGATCTTAGGTGGCATTAACCTAAGAGCTTTAAAGAAACTCAAAAGTTAGAACTGAGAAAATATTGGATGAAGTAGATACAAATGGTCTGCCAAAAATGTTAATCCAAAGCATTTTTGGAAAGTCAACATAATACCAGGTTATCAGAAGTAGTGAACTTGTTTTTGCAAGTAGTAAAGCAGAGACATTACTTTGCCAACAAAGGTCCGTCTGGTCAAGGCTATGGTTTTTCCGGTGGTCATGTATGGATGTGAGAGTTGGACTATGAAGAAAGCTGAGCGCTGAAGAATTGATGCTTTTGAATTGTGGTGTTGGAGAAGACTCTTGAGAGTCCCTTGGGCTGCAAGGAGATCCAATCAGTCCATCCTAACGGAGATCAATCCTGGGTGTTCATTGGAAGGACTGATGCTCCAGTACTTTGGCCACCTCATGCGAAGAGTTGATTCATTGGAAAAGACCCTGATGCTGGGAGGGATTGGGGGCAGGAGGAGAAGGGGACGACAGAGGATGAGATGGCTGGATGGCATCACCGACTCGATGGGCATGAGTTTGAGTAAACTCATGAGTTGGTGATGGACAGGGAGGCCTGGCGTGCTGCAATTCATGGAGTCACAGAGTCGGACACGATGAGCGACTGAACTGAACTGATTATCATATAACTGTATATATACATGGGGAAAGAATTCCAAAATTTTATAGGTAAAAGATAATGATCTTTTTATAATTTGAGGTCCAAGAAACAAATCTTTACTGATACTACCTAAGAAGAAATAAGAGAAATTTAAAAAGAAAAAAGCCAACAAAAAAATACCTAGATTTGATTACTTTGTATATGGTTCTAAAAGGCTTCCTATTTTGCTTTTCGTACTTACATAAAACATCATGAATGTAAGAGCTCTACCACTGTTTCGCCAAACCTTTGCTCAGAATTGCATAAAGTTAATATATTGTATTAAAATGTGAGCTGCCTCAAGTTAAGAACATTGATAAATGTGTTTCTGAGAAGAGAAAACATACAGCATTTATTTAACTGTGGATAGAATGACATGGAAGAAAAGCCTTAAAAAAAGGTGTAAAGAGAAGAAACATAGATGATAAAAGCGTAAATCATAAATAACATAACATTACCCGAGGTAAGTTTTTTTGTTTTTTTTAAAAAGCATAATTAAACCCAGTTTGAATATAGAATTAAAAGAGATACTACAAAATAGCAAAGGTACTGGGAGAGGAACAGGGTGATAGGATCAGCTTTCTTTGCCTGGAGTCTGGATACACTTGAAGTGGCCTTGTTGGTATTTATGACTATGATACACAGGGAAAAAAAAAACTGAAAATGCCTAAGTTCCTAATAAGTCAATTTTAAAACTGGAAAGAACAGCAGTTTTAGGACAAGTGATAGTAAGCAGGGAATGTACAAAGCTCTGCCTAAGAGATGACTAAAATAGGCTCTGGAAGAACAAACTAATGATGGATAGCCCTATAAAAGTTCTTAAGATATTAAATTCTCAATTGGGGTTCTTAAAAGCAAAAGACAGGAATGTTGTAAAGAACTGATAATAGAGGAGAAATTTTAGGGAAAAACAATATAATGAACCAAATATCTGGTAGAAGACAGATTACTTACATTGCTTTTCTAGAGCAGCAAAAAAAAAAAAAAAAGGTCTTAACAGGTCAATCACCATGATTAAATTCCAAGACAGGATGCCTCATACCTCATCGGCAAGACATTCTTTTATGCTAACACTAAAAACACATTCCTATTTCCCACTGAATTACTTCAGTCATTTCCTGCATTATCTGCATAATCTATGGACTTATCCTGATTTGCTTAAAAGGTCTGACATGGAATATTTACTAGTCTGGCAAACCAAGGACTTTGATGTCTACTGAAATTTTTCCTTCTCTGATTTAGTGTTTTCAGTTTCTCACTTTTTGATTTTTTTTCTTAATATTGTTGTTTAAACTCTTAAGCTATAAGAAGCAAAATTTCAAGTTAAAATTATCACATAAGCCATTACAAAAATTATAATCTACAACAAAACCAACTCACCAACTGTATGAGTGATGGTGTTCTGTAGGCTGGGAATTACCACAGAGTAGGTAGGTGAGTGATAAGGATAAATTGTTGTTGGATTTGTAGAGATGATATTCTGTGTGGTACCAGAAAATACATTGGAAACGCTTAGAGGGAAGCGTTTTCGCTTCCCTGGACGAGGTTGATAAACCCAACCTGGAGAAGAAGATTAACCATTTTTAATTTGAACCTACAAATCCTATTTAGCCTTTAAATAGTTCTTTTCACATTAAAAGTCCAAAACATTTCTAAGTCTTAGTTGTCTAAAGTATCTTTTCCACTTCTATGATACTATTTCTGTGCATTTCAGCATATCTATCCATATGGTTCCTAGCTAGTGGCCAATGTTGTTAACTAATAATTCAAAGGAAGACCAAGAGCAAATGTCTTTTCTCCAAAGACACATAATGACTTTACAGTAAAATCAACATTAAAGGCACCAAGTCTAATTCCAAAGTTTTTCTTCTACCTATTAAAAAAAATATGCCCCAGTAAGATGCTATTTGTCTCCTCCCATTTTTTTACTTTCTGTAAGATACAATTATCTACATCTTACAATGAAGCAGCTACTAATGACCAGTCACTATTTTTATGCCTTCTTTAGGAAAAGTCACTCTCTTAGACTTGGCAGTCTCCAAATCCACAAACCACCCAATTCCTTCTAAACTCAGAAAAATGGAATTACGGCAGTTGTTGCCACTGTACAACCAAGAGAATCACTGGTCCCCTGTGACCACTACTCTGACCATTCCCAGCCTGAATCTCTCTGCTATTACTTTAGGAAAAAAATTCTCTTCCCTCCAAGCACAATGTGTTGGTCATACCAACACATATTAAGCTTTTGCCAAGCTTAATAACAATGTCCTCACTGCTGGGGAGAAAGTCAGACTTTATTTCAAACTATATCATGATGAGGATAAATTTATCAGGCAGGAGGCAGGACTAGATTCTTATAACCATATAATATTAAAATGGAGCTTGGTGCTAATGCCTGCAGTGTGCCCTGCGTATTTTTTCTGTTGCTACGATCTGAACACTTCATTTTCTAATATATTTGAAATATCATAGCATAGAACTCTGAATCTTCACCTTCATTAAATTTATATTTTTAAATTAAATCAAAACCACTGTAAAACTGTATATCCCCAGGTTTGCATTAGTAGGCAAATGTAAGACCAGATCAGGTTTGCATTAGTTGGCAAATATGAGACCAGATATTGTTCTACTTTGTTCTGTTTAAGAAAACTTATGTCCAGTATCAATTCAATCATTACTATAATATTAGCCATAATTTTCTCTATTGTACATATCAGACCATAAGAAAATTACATTTTGTCTTTCAATCTCATCCTAACCTATTCTTTACCTAAATAAATAAATTTAAAAGAAATCAGAAAGAGGCTTTGTTCATTTCATTTGATTACCAGGAAATTCCTCTCTGTGCTTTTCTTTAATCTTTTGCGCTTCATCATAATAGGGTTTCTTTTGTTCTTCACTAAGTTTGTTCCATTCTAACCCAAGCTGGACACTGATTTCTGCATTGTTGGCTGCTGGGTTAGCTTTGGCTAGTGCTGGCCGGTGGATCCTTGCCCAAACCATAAATGCATTCATGGGTCGCTTCACATGACCATTTCTGTCCTTACTGAAGGGAGTATCTGGTATTCCTACATGACAAAAATTAAAAGACTAAATTAATGTGCCACACACACACACAATTTTAAAGTGAAGTGCACCTCCAACTATATTTACTTTTTAAATATACGGAGAAAATATTCACTTCAATATAGCCAAAGAACTGCCAGTATTACAGAATTCCTCATGACCCTTGAACTCAGCATTCTAAACTGTGGTTTAGAATGATTGTTCTTTTCATCAGAAAGAATATTATTATTGAAGACACTGTAAAATGTTGGCTTATTACTTCCTTGAGTTATAGTAATGCCTCTAACAACAATTAACATTTGGCTTATTTCCCATTAAAAATATTCTATTAATGGGGAACAGGAACTATAACTTATTCATGTCTATAATTCTAGCACTAGGTGGGTGTACCCTAAAAGTTTAAAGGAATTCACTTACATGCCGCTGGAGTGCCCATTCAAGCAAAAATACTTATAATACTATAGTGTTAGTTATATTTCATTATTAAAGTGAAGCACCTGCCAAGGTGGGTCATTAACACTAGTCCCATGTCCTGGGAAAAAAGAGGAAAATAATAAAGGTGACTTTTTGAAAGTCACAGGGGCAACTGAAATTACAATAAAGGAAGCTGTTTAAAGCCACATTTCTTATATAATTCATCAAAAGCCACTGTATATAAATTTCATATATTGTTACTCTTTATCTTAAGGTCACTTGACATATAAAATTTTAAAATGCACAAAGGATGAAACAAGTTGTTATAAAGAAAGGTTTCCCTTTCTCTACTTTAGAAAATGAAAACAAAGTTTAAAAACTACTAAAGGTGAAAAAGCAAGAGGGTGGGGAGGGAAGGAAGAATCAATAAAGAAAATAAGAACAAATACAGTAAATATAAAATTAGTGAAAATATAAAGTGAAGATTAATATGAATTTCCACATTTACTGGCATAATATTCTGTCTGAACTAAATCTTAAAGAATTTTCTAGCTATGTATTTGGAAATAATGGATAAAAATAAGATATCTACTTGTAATTGTTACTACTGTAATTATGGTCCTTTATTTGAAAACTTTTACTTTCATTTTCTGAATTTCTGTAAGTCCTTAGCTTTTAGAATACTGTTACAATTAATTATGTAGTCTTATCTCCTAAAAATGCTTACTCATTTTTAAAAAAGATAAATCATTTCTAAATCTTTTATAAACTTCCCTATTTTTTCTTAAACATTTTTTATTAATACACGTAAAAATACTGAGCTACTATAATACAACATTTTAAAATGTTGATTATCTGCAGCAATATAAACTGAGAATGTTGTATTTACCTAGAAAGACTATTTCTGTGTATAAGCATTAGTCACACCTAAATCTCATTTAATGGGCCTTTAAAAAAATATTTTTAATGTTTGGGAATCTTGAACGTGTTAGTGTATTTTACTAGTATACGTACAAGTCAGAAGTGATACCTGTGCAGACTTTGCCCTGAATCCATGATTTTATTTTTCTAGCTTAGGCTTCTCAATAGCTGATATGTCAGCTATGGGGCAAGAGACGAAGCCTGAAAACCAGATTGATTCCCCTGCTGTCTAATACCTGCATCTGAGGGAAGCACCGTAAGCGGGACATCTTTGGTTTCAATTTTTACAGAAGGCTCCAATAAGGACTGCATTTTAATAGGCACTGGTGTCAACGGGACCTTGGTCAATCGTATCAGCTCTGAAGGTGGAGGTCCCTGAAACTGGATCTGGGCCCCGGGGGGCACGGTGTGAAGAGTCAAAGGGACCCTGAGGTCTTGCTGATGTGGCCCAAAGGCACTGGACGGCTGGGTCAGGATATCCTTGCTGCCATGAGCCAGGCCATTGGACGCGGGCTCTGTACTGAGCCTGCAGTCCTCTCGAAGTCTCTCAGGCGCCTCCGTTTTGATGACTCCTTCTCTGAGGACTGCCAGGCTTGTGCCTTCTCCGCCTTTTGCTGCGTAGCTCACGATCTCCTCCGCCTCCAACTTGCCCTTCTTCTCGTCCCCTCGGCGGCTGTTGAGGGGCCCGGAGGCTTCTGCCTTCACCGTCCTGGAGGTTTTCGGGCACGCCTCGACGGCCCTCCGAGGCCCAGCCAACAGATCCAAGCCGGATCCCGGCTCCTGCTTCTCCACCTTAACGTGCAACGCTCGGGGCTGCAACGGGTGCAACTCAGGCCTGCAGGGGACGCCCTGAGACGCTGGGGGCGGCGGCGGCGGCAGCAGGAGCAGCTCGGGCCTCAGCTGCAGCAGCCGCGCCTGCGCGGGAGAAGTGGCGGCGCCTTCCTCCCGGGCCTGAGGCAGTGGTGGCCCGGGGGGCAGCAGTAACACCTGCTCCGGCTTCACCTGCAGCATCCGTCGTGCCCCTGGCTGTACGCCCGACGCCGAGGCTTCCCCACACGACGAGGCGACGGTCGCAATGGCGGCCGCGCACGGGGTGGGCGGCGACGGAGAGGGCTCCGCGGCCGCTGCCCGGAAGGAGGCACCCTCGACGGGCAGCGGGGGCGGAGTAGGGCGCAGCAGGCGCGGCGGGGTCGCCCGCGGCAGTTGGCGCTGCTGAGGCGGCTGCTCCGGCCTGGCTCTCTCCATGGGGGGAGGGGGACGCCCCGGCCTGGTCCCAGGACGGATTGTGAGCTCAGCCGTTTGTTGGCGACCTTCCTCCTCCCCCTTTCAGTTAAGACCCTTCCAAGGTCTTTGCTACCCAGAACCCTACGCGGTTCAAAAAGCAGTCCTTGGTCTTGGCCTCGACCAATCACAAGCGTCCTGGTATCCCGGCCCGCCAATCACAGGGGCGTTCTCCGGCCCCTCCTGCCCTCCGCGCTCCTCTCGTGCGGAGCCCTCGAATCACTCTTGATGGCCTGGGCCACGACACGTGCTGCCCATTTTCCCCGTCTGACTCTCCCTCTCTTCCGGAGTTCTCTTCCGGCCGTTGTCCTTAGTTACCCCTACCCCGCCCAGAGCGCCCGACAATGGCGTTGCCCGGAAACAGAGCTGTTAGAAGCCACTGACCTCCAGGGGGTAAAATCTCGTGAGTCATTTACTAGAGCTGGAGATCCCGGCAGTGTATACGCAGTTTGAGCTTCCGGGATAACCCATGAACCCAGACCCTCACGGGGGACTTTGGATTTATGCCACGGGAAAGGGCAAATTTTGCAACGTCTCAATAACCTTTTTACTTAATCTTGCAGGGGAGAGTGTTGGACTTAACCATTAGTGCTAGACTTTACATTAACCACCACTCCTGTGGGCAAAAATACACCACTTCTACTTGTAAAACACATCCCAAATTCTTCCAGCTCTTTCTGTTTTTCCCATTACTCCGTTCTGATCTTACATCATCTTTTTCACCTGGATGCTGCTATAGCTGTATATGGTAAATAGTTTTCTTTTCGTTTTGGTACCACTACACTCTAGTTGCTAAGAATCTCTGAAAAATACAAATCTAGTCCTCTCATAACCTGCTCCGTCCCCACCTCCAAAAGTCTTCTCAGGACTCTCCACAGGTCAGACAATAAAGGTTTAATGTTCTTGGCAGAATCCATAGGCCTCAGATGGCTTGGGCTCTAGTTCTCCTACTTAACAACTCTAGCCCCAGCTTCAGCTACTGCTATCTCTCATCATTTCTCCTACTTCAGAGACGTTTGAATATGCCCTCAGTTGTATTTTTCCCTTGTGTCTCCTTAACGTCTCCTGGCGTTTCAAATAGTTCAACTAGCACTTCTTCAAAGACATGTTCTCTAACTCCGAAAATCAGGTCAAATCCCCTTTATGGCCTCATATTTCTATCACTTCTTTTAAAGCTCTTACCACAATTTGTAATTTTGTATCTGTTTGTCATTATTCTCCTGCCTCCCCCACTTTGCTTTACAGCAAGCCCCGTGCATAGGAATGTTCCCAGAACACCTTTATAAATTGAATTTGTCTGTAAGTCCAGCAGAGGTACCCTATGTACTCAACTATACATAAAACAAAAATAAAACATATTTAATCTTATAGTAGTGTACCTTGAAAAGTATGGTAGAACAGTGTAAAGATTGGCATACAGGGACTGGCATCAAGGGAATAAACAAGAAAGGTGGGAAATTGTAGAACTGCAGTATTGTCAGCAATAGGAGACAAAGGGTAAGCTGCAGTTTCACTTGTGCCTTCCGTGATTGGACATGCAAAAACACGTTTGCATCTTTTAAATTTTGCAACTTGAAGGTTGGTGTGTAGGGGACTTGTTTTCTCCTTGAGGATAGACTGTGTTTTGTTCATTTCTGAATTGCCAACGCCAGTTATGGAGCCTGGTGTATGGTAGGCATTCAATAAATACATGCTGAATGAAGAAGGACTGCCATAGTCTAATAATAATCACTATCTGTTTGGGGCTTTTATCTAGGCATTGGTTCAAGTTCTTTGTATTCTTATCCCTCTCCTTTAACTAGAATTGTGTTTGTTTCCATTAAATATCACCAAGAAAAAGAAAGAAATCTTGTATTAACATTTGTTACATTTCTAAGTGATGTCCTAACTAAAAGCTATAGATTTATCTTGAAGCAGATAATTATTTTGCCACCAGGACAAGTTAGCTCTCAAAGAAGACCTGAACCCAGCTCTCTTTCTAATACCCTGTTGTCAAATGTGGCAAATAGGAGTTCTTCCAACTGGAAGGTAGGTAAGAGCAGTGGTTCTCAAACTTTTATCTCTGGAATCTTTTATATCCACAAAAATGAAGATTCTAAAGAGCTTTTATTTATGTGGTTTTATTTATCAATATTTGCCATATTATAAATAAAAACTGGAGGACTTAAAAAGTTATCAATTCAAGTATCAATAATAAACCCATTACATATTAACATAACACATTTTCATGATAAAACTATGCCCTCCCCCCGAAATTAGAAGAGTGGAATTGTGACTCTAATGTCTAACTTAGGTTTTTTAAAAAAGTTAGATTCTCATGGCTGCTTCTGCATTCAGTTTGTTGTGATTCAGGTCATACAGGTCATACAGGCTCTAGATAGCTTCATTATACACTCATGAGTGTATGAAGTAAAAAAGGCAAATATTGTCTTAAGAATTATTATGAAAGTAGTGTTAACCTAGCAGGAACTCTGAAAGAGTCAGTCCCTGAACCACTCTTTGACCAAGCTAGTTGCACAGTCGTGCCAGGTTCTTTATAATCCCATGAACTGTTGCCTGTCCACCTCCTCTGTCCATGGGATTCTCCAGGCAAGAATACTGGAGTGGGTTGCCATTTCCTTCGATGGGCTATCTTGCCGACCCAAGGATTGAACCCACATCTCCTGCATTGCCGGCAGACTCTACCAGCTGAGCCACTAGGGCAGCTTTGCACTTTGAGAACCGCTGATGAAACAAAGGCTAAAGAAAGAGGCAGAGAAATAAATCATGTTAGATTTTGTGCAAGACTAGTTCATATATCGGAGAAGGCAATGGCACCCGACTCCAGTACTCTTGCCTGGAAAACCCCATGGATGGAGGAGCCTGGTGGGCTGCAGTCCGTGGGGTCGCTACGAGTCGGACACGACTTAGTGACTTCACTTTCACTTTTCACTTTCATGCGTTGGAGAAGGAAATGGCAACCCACTCCAGTGTTCTTGCCTGGAGAATCCCCGGGACAGCAGAGCCTGGTGGGCTTCCGTCTATGGGGTCGCACAGAGTTGGACACGACGGCAGTGACTTAGCAGCAGCTGCAGCAGTTCATATATTCCAGTCTGAATTAGTAATTTAAAGCAAGTGATCTGACAGTCCTCTGTGACAGCAGTGCAAACGGTATCTGCTCCCATCTTCAACCCCACACAACGACATATATGCTTTCTGTGTCTATAATTTTGTGTTTTCTAGAAATTTTATATAAATGGAATCACATAATATGTAGGCATATATGTCTGGCTTCTTTAACATAGCATGATGTTTTTGAGGTTCATCCAAATATAATGTATCAATAGTTATTTTATTATAGCATGGTATTCCATAGTGTGGAAATACAAGATTATACAGGGATGTTTTGTTTAAGATGTTTCCCATTCATTTTGTTTATACATTGACTGGTTGAGGAGCATTTGGATTATTTTTAGGTTTTGGCTGCTATGAATATGATGTCCATTCATGTACAAATATTTGTGGGGACATAGATTTGCATCTCACTTGGGTAGGCACCCAGAAGCAGAATTGCTAGGTTATGTGGTAAGTTTATGCATAACATTTTACAAAACTGCCAAACTGCCTTGCAAAATGTGTCATTTTAAATTCCCACTCATAACATATGAGCGTCCCGGTTTCTTTAGCTCTTCTCCAATATTTGGTATTGACAGGGTAACAGGCAGGAAGGGCAGGCATCTCCAAAGAGAGGAAATAGGCTGCAAGTGTCTCTTAAAATTCTGTTTTGCTATGAAGACACCTGATTCCACCAGAACTTAACTTTTCTCAAACCTTGAGCTAACCAATGCATTTTTCTTATGGAAATATTTTTCTTAAACTATGTTAATGTGACTATGTATTTTCTTTGGAATTTGCCTTTCTTCAAAATGTTTTCACCTAAGCCTAACTTTTTTCCTTTTCTCAAACCTTGGGCTGATAATAGCTCAACAAACCAGTACTCATATCAATTGTTTTATGGCTGGGGGATGACACACCTCGTGCCATCCTATCTCAAAAATGCATGTTGTGGGAGAGGGGCCTGGTGAGACTCCCTCAGCCTTGAGGTGTCTCTCTTATCTGATTAATAACTTCCTAACAGACATAAAACAGCTTGCTAAAACTAGCAGGGGTTGCGGGGGGGCACTCTCCATCCTCCTCCTGATGTCTATGTCAGAAGCTTTCTCTATCCCTTTTTCACTTTATACAACTCTGCTACACAAAAACTCTTGAGTGATCAAGCCTGGTCCCTGGTCCCGAAGCTGAATCTTCTTCAGAGATCACGAATCCCACACCGTTCACTATAAGCTATCAGTATCAAAAGCCTTTTAAATTTTGTCATTCTATGTAGTATATATAGAATATATTATAGTTATAAAATATAATAGTAAATAAGTGTATTTTAAAACTGTATTTCCACACTGAATAATGCTGTTGAGCATCTCTTCATATCCATCTTCATACATATTCATGTGTCTTCATTACCTAGTTCTGTTAAAGTTTCTTTTGCCAGTTATTTAGATTGTGTTGGTTTTCTTTTTTACTTTTAAGGATTCTTAATATATTCTGAATATAAGTTCTTTATTAGATATGGGTTTTGCAATTATTTTATTCCAGTCTGTAGCTTCTTTTCATTCTTAGTAATATTTCCAAAGCAACATTTTTACCTTTAATGTAGTCCAATATATCAGTATGCCATTATTCGTATTTAAGAAATCTTTGCCTAGCCTAAGATTACAAAGATTTTTCTCTTGTGATTTTCTCTAGAAGGGTTTTAGTTTTAGCTCTTACATTTAGCACTGTGATCCATTTCAAGTTAATTTTTCTGTGAAGAAAGAATCTAGGTACTTACCTAACACCATACAGTTGTTTCAGTACCATTTGTGGAAAAGACTCTTTTCCCATTGAATTACTTTAGTACTTTTGCTGAAACTTAATTGAGCATATGC